AGGATTGAAGAGGTTCCAGGTGCTGTTGTGGTAGTAGTAGTGCTTCCAAACAAAGAAGCCGGTTTCGTTGTAGGAGTTGTCCCCGCAGGCTGAGACGGCGCCTGCGACGCAAAAAGTGAAATACCGCTCGGGTTACGCATAGTGCCTGCGTTTCCGGAAGCTGCTAGCTTTAGACCCAACGCAGATGCAGGTTCAGCAGGTTTTGTGGTGGGAAAGAGAGATGAACTTGAGTTCTGAGGTTGGCTGGCAGAGGGAAACAGCGAGCCGGCTGGCTTTGGCTGTGAGCTCCCCGAGCTATTTGGAAACAAGCTGGTCTGTTTGTTGTCGCTCTGCTGGGTCGACGGGAACAGAGAAGGAGTTGAACCGGCCTGAGCGGCGTTACCAAACATGCCTGTGCCCCCAGGTGGTTTGGAACTGTTTGCCGGAGGTGCACCAGCCGGCGTGGTCGAATTAAGGGAGAACAAAAGCTTTGCGGGTGTTACCTGATTCGCTGACGCAGTGTTCGAATTTGCGCCACCAAAAAGAGAACCCCCGGTAGCAGCACTGCCCGATCCGAAGAGCCCACCCGGTTTATTGGTAGAGGTTCCTTGATTAGCTGCAGTATTCGCCTGTCCGAAGAGTCCGCCGGCAGGGGCTGTCGTGGTAGGTGTCGTGCTCGCGGCGGTGGTGGCATTCGGGGTTGAAGACGTGTTACCAAACAGACTGGTGCCTGTCCCTGCCGGTGTCGTGGCTGGCTTGCTTCCGAACAGACTGGTACTCGAGGGTGCCTGCGACGCCGGGGCTCCAAAAAGACCAGCACCAGCACCAGCACCAGCACCAGCACCTCCGCTCAAGGACGGCGTAGATGAGCCAGGGGTAGTGCTGCTCGTAGCTCCGAAGAGTGACTTCTGTTCACCCGGCTTGGCACCCGCGCTTGCAAACAGGCCACCACTTGGAGCGCCCGGTGAAGCAGTCGTGCTGCTGTTACCTCCACTGGCTGTGTTTCCGAAGGAGAAAGCAGCGGCGGGCTTCGATTGGCTGCCGAAAAGACCACCTGACGATGCGGGTGTGGTTGTTGAGGAGCCAAACAGTCCACCACTGCTTGGGGCACTGGACGTGGTGGTGTTGTTGTTGTTGTTGTTGTTGGATTGCCCCGAAGAGCTCGGGGCGCCGAAGGAGAACGACATTACGTGGTCTCTGGAATGCCACGGGCTAGCGCGCACAGAGGCGACTGTTGTCGGGTGTCTTGAATGTTTTGGGGTGCCTTGCTAAGGTTGGCTTAGAGGTCTTGGGTGTCTCAGGTGTCTCGGGCTCGTGGATGTCAAAAGCAACGATTCTTCAGAAATCAGCAGCCCAGTAAGAAGAGCCTATGTGACCGTCTCCGGGTCGCAGTGAAGGTGGTGAGAGAAGAAACGAATCGGCAGAATTGGACGGGGTTGTGTTATCGGAGCGGTGATGAGACGGCGGCGAGCTTCGCGAACGGTAAATGGAGGCGACAGAACAAGTCAGACTGTAGTGGTCAACGGTAGGGCTCAGTAGTGAATGGAAACAGATTAAAGGTCTTTTTGGATTGACCAACGCCTCCGTTTGTCGGCCTCCCAATCTACGTAGTACCTAAGGAATAATCGAAAGTTTTAACGGTACCTAGGCATATTTCACGACTTGACTTTTCGGCGCGACAAAGCTCATCAGCAGCTTCAAGGTACACTACACTAGCGCACCGTCACAGTTTGTCCCTGGCGGCTGGGCTCTCAGTAACAGGTGGCTGACAGCTGGTCCGGCGTTACCTAATGAAGTACGTACTGGGAGCTTGGACCATGCCCCTACCCAGATGCCTGCGCGTTTTGGTACATCTACCTCAAGGCAGCACTGGGCAGAACGCTAAACTGCACCATCCGTGCACAGCTTACAGCGGTATGGGATGGCTGAGATCGCCTTACATCTTTCCATTATGGGTCTGCGAATGGGCCCCGGGCGGTCTAGACTGTGTACCTACTTGCGTTAGGGTAGATCCATAAACCATGTCTCTCCCGTAGTACACCCGTAGGCTATACACCTGCTAACTGCTAGGGGGTTGCTCCAGCTTCATCCTCCAAGCAGGTTCAATGGCCAATGCCAGTCAGTGCTCAGGTGTGCAGTGCAGTGTGCAGTGTGTCCCTAGTGGTGTGTGCGCCGTGTCTCCGATCCTCTTACCACAATCCCGATCTTGAGCACCTGTCGGCTTCAAGGGAGCAAAGCAAAGCAATGAAGAGTCCCATTAATTTAGGGGTCGGTCTCTATAACTACTAGTACATAGCAGCTTCACTCAACCTCCTCAATCCTGGTCAACATTATCGTCCCGTCTCTTTCAACCCTGCTCTACTAGTAATATCTGTCTTCCGAGTCCATATCTTAGTTGATACCTCGACACCTCCCACCGCATGTAGAGTATCGACCTCCCTAACTATCTGTCTTCCTGCGGCCAAGCCGAGCCCGCAGCTTCTTTTACCCCTCAGCCATCTTATGGTGCCACCTGTGCGCATTTAAGTATTAGAGCACTTGAGCTTCCGAGCTCAACGCCGTGCTTCGTTCCGAGCACCCGTCGATTCCTGAATCGCGAGTGTGCCATATCGGACTTCAGATCTGCCCGCTCCGTCTCCCAACATGTCCGGAGAGCGCAGACTGTCCTCTAGTCTTGAGGCGCCCGAGAGGACCAGGACCGAGGACCCTGGCGCGCACGAATTGGGTAAGCTCATTTGGCCTCGTCTGAAACCTGCTCCCACGGCCTAACATACCACGGCACAGAAGCTTCTGATTCAGACGAGCACTATTCCGATGCTCAGTCGTCCCCCAGAGATAATGCACGCGCTGTCTCTCCCATACCCAGGACCCGAGTCGAGAAAGTAGACGATGAGCCCTCCTACGGAGAAGTCCCCGGCACAGAAGCCTACAACAAAAGAACAGAGGACGCCTCGCCAGATGAAATAGCCATTGTGCAAGATGGTGACGGGCAGTCCCCGCCTACATCGCCCACCCATGCTGTTGCACCCAAAGACGCTGCCATTCCCAAAACGGTCGTCGACCAGACGGACGACGTACCGGGCTCTTCGACTCACAACTACAATGAGCAGCTCCATCAGGCGGACGCCACTCCAGACATGGTCCGGAAACCTGACGGGACGGGAGAGGCCAACCCTATCCCTGCTCCACTAGACGCCAGCACACAAGACACCGGTACGGCAACCAAGTCCTTCTAAAACCCACACTGCGATTGACCGTGCCTTGGTAGATGACACGGCTGTGAATCAAGTATTGAAGTCCCCCTCTACACGTGGGCGGAGCAAATCTTCAGCTACCAAATCGGTCACAAGTCTTCGCGATGACGAGGAGACAAATGATGCTGGTGACGATTTTGGTGACGAGTTTGACGAATTCGAAGAGGGCGGCGAAGACGCGGATTTCGGCGATTTTGATGATGGCTTTCAACAGGCTGATGAGCCTACAGCCGCTCAGTCACCGATAAACCAGCCACCACAAGTCTCTATACCTTCCTTAGTGTGTCTAGTACCCTTCTTAGATAGCCTTATCACAGTCATGCTGACTTCTATGTGCTCCAAGCCAATACTAGATCTTGACGAGCTAGACTCTGAAGATATCTTAGCCGCCTCTGACCCGTACTTGGATGCACTATACCCTTCTGACGTGCTCGATATTCCTCCCTTACCCTCGCCTCCAAATGACAACCCCATTTTCTTTAACCCGAGGAGTGCATCATTATGGTCACAGTTAGCTGCGCCGCCCCCTCTTCAGCCTCCTGATTGGATCCGTTCCCGTATTAGGAGACTTTTCTTAGTATCGCTCGGGGTGCCCGTAGATCTTGACGAGATACTACCTGCATCCAAGCAGAAAAAACTAGTTCTCCCATCCCTTCATCGAATCACATCGAACGGTTCACTGCGAACTTCTACAGACTCGCGCTCTGTGTCTCGACTGCGGAAATCAGACGCCAATGGATCGTCTGTCTCGATTGACTCCCAAGGTAGAGAAAAGCCAAGGTCCGGCTCCAAAAAGCGGAAGGTTCCTCCTCAAATTCCGGAATTTGATCTGGTCGCGGCGAAACAGCTCTGCGCCACAACAGAAGAAGCCCTGAGAGGCATGACGGACATTGAGCTTCAACAGCACGTGAGGAAGCTGAAAGAAATGGAGGTCTTGGCAAACGAGGTCCATGAGTTTTGGAAGAAGCGCACGGACGAGAGAATAGGCGACAGGGAGGCGTTTGAAGGTGTCATAGAAAACCTGGTGAAGCACGCACGGAAGACAAGAAAATGATGAGGGATACCCTACAATGACCTAATCTAATAATAGTCTAATTAATTTATACACATGAAGCCCCCATGCGCTCAGTCTGTGTGTCACGATATCGGTGTTTGAATGTAATCTAGATCTCGTGTTAGGCTTCGTCTTCCATCTGGCGACAGGATAATCATAGTCTCCTACTAGTCGTGTAAGCGACGAACTACAGATCGAAAACCAACTGTCTATGTGAGACCATGTCTGTGGTGATAATCGCCGCGTCTAGCCGCGTCTAAAGACAGCGTTGTTGTCTTTGTGGGTTAATCCTTAATGAACAAATTACCATAGAATAGATTATATGATGAATCACTTGTCCATTATTGCAAGCACTTGAAGATTGATGAAAGAATAAATACGTTCTAAAATATATATATATATATATCTATGCAGGTTAGACCAAGACGCTGGGAAGATTGCTATAGGGAATCTCAGCTCCTGAAATAGACTCAATGAGAGAATTTTCTCCTTGATACAGTTATCTCCTAAAGACTATCACCGACTATGTTGAAAGACAAAAACAAAAGGAAGGAAAGAGCAGAGACCGGGAGGGGCCCTACCACCCGCTGGCAGCTGTTAGTGTGGACCGTCCACTGTTTCATCCATGTACAACAGTCGCGAATGTACCTAGGTTCAGAGGAACAAATGGGAAAAAATGATCCTGAAGCTGTGGTAAATTGGAAAAAATACATTGACCCCGGCAGGGGTCGAACCTGCACTCTCCTGATAAATCAGGTGATCATCACGTGATGTGATGACCGCAATCGTAGTCAGACGCCTTGCCATTGGGCCACGAGGCCAGTTTGTTGTGTTGCTTAGATGTACTGCTCATTAAACAAGTTTATCAGATGAAAGTTTTGCAGTGGGTGGCAAAGAGTGGGGTCGTGCATGCATTAGGTTTCCACTAAGGTACTCCACTTATGTGCCTACAGTGGGCCCGAACCCGAGTAAACATCCGAATAACTTGCGCGGACAGAAGCGCGGAACATGATATTATTAACTCCTGTACATGGCGTGACAGTCGACTTCTATAGTAGAATTATTAGATAATGAGTGCGCTCTAGTTGATAGGAACCAAACGGCTCCAAGTGTCTGATACTAGGAGGTAAAATACACCCATCATACCATCGTGGCCTCCCTTTACTTGGATACTACCCCGAAGCCACGCTGATCAGTGGTAATGGCCTATTCCCGGGGTTTATCTGGAGGAGTTTCTGTTACCTACTTGAACGGGATCATCGCCGATATCTCTGTCAAGCTCAAGGAGTATAATAAAACTATCTTAAGATATTCAGAAATGCGGCGTATATGCCCAGCTCCGAATCGAAACGTGGGGACTATCCCAGCGTGGCTCGAGAACAACGGAGTGAGAGTTCCAGATGAGGCGGAACTTATAGAGCACCGCGATGAACTCATCTCGATATGTTATAAGACACTTAGAATAGGTGCTACCTAGTATAAGCTAGGAGCTACTGCTCGAGTTATTCTTAAGCACACAATCCTCAAGTCACTTGTCTACGTAGTCTTCATCCTCTATCTTACGCAGAAACAGCTCATACGCTTTTCCCTTCTCATAACCCTCCTCGAGCGTCTTCGGGATATCATCACAATCATCCACGGTCTCGTAGAACCTTGCCCCGAACGACCTCAGAACCTCGCACCTCTCGTCCGCATCTAGAGCCATATTAATGTGCTCGTACCAACCATCCGGCTGGCGTTCAAGATACGGCTTGACGACACCCTCCTCTCCAAACCACATCCTGTCTTCAGAGAATTTGTACACCCGGACACCATTGCCGGAAGACGGATACCCGACGTTGATCCGTGGTGGAAAGTGGAAGTCATACGGCGTGCGCGCGAGGCGCTTGCTGTGGAATTCGTGGAACTTCTAGCTCGGCCACCAATGCGCGCCCTGCCGCATAATGGCGAGAGCAAGCTCGTCTTCCTCCGTGTCGTTATATGAGCGCGGTGCTGACTTCAAGTTGGAAAGGCCCAGTTGCTTGGGCTGTACGGCGGTGAAGCGTCCGATGACGATTCCGCCCATTGAAGGATAGTCTTTGACTTGGCAATACAGGGGAAGAACTCGGTACGCTGCTCTGTGTCCTTCACAGGCGGTTCAAGATAACAGGCATCCTCGGGCTTCTGATTCATGTTGCGTGATGACATGCTATGATTAGACATTAGGAGCCCCGGCTGTTCCAGCTAGCCCATTAAGTATATAGGCAGGAATAACAGTAGGAAGCGCATTAGTGAAATGGCATTAGCTAGAGCGGTAATGTGAAATGGGCTAGACAAGAAGATAAACGGAGGTTGGCGTACGGATATACTTTAAAGAAATGTGTTGCGCGTAGTGCTGGGAGCTTGTACAATTCCCATTAGGGGGAAATGCCCGCCTTAAACCTCCTAACCAACACAAAGTCAACGAGAAGACTTCCATACTCCGGGCGGCGGTGCTACTCTGAACCATATAAACGTATTCGCTGACCATCATGGGGAACTTGGGGTCCTTAAAATACCTCGAAGACGCCCAGGCAGCTACCAACAACTAACATCCGCCGCAGGTCGTACCCCTGACCGATGACCAACAATGAATCCTAACTATACGACTAGCTGAGCAGCATAGTTTCTCGAATAATACACATAAAAACTAGAATAACCTTTATATTCACAGAATCTACCCCTTCAGATCAGATAGCGTAAACTGGGCCTTTCCTTGATCGTCCCTCATAAGCTGCGCATCCACAGATTTCGCAAACTCCTCCATCTGAGGCTATGACATATCGTACGACGGCAGCGGCACATTTTCCTCCTCCGTCTTGTCGTCCCCAATCCGGGCCATCAGAAGGGCCAGACTCGAAGACCTCCATTCTTTCCTCGTGGCCTCGCTCCTGGGCGACTGCCACACCAAAACCTCGGTCCACACTATCGCAATAAACACAAGAGACGCCGGATAAGATATCCAAGCCCAGCAAATACTCACACACGTCCTCTGCTCTAAGGCGGGACCCCGGGCCCATTCCCCATCGCTATCCCACCTTGCCCCCCCGTGGCTTCGCATATCCGCCGTCATCACATCACTCAGAGCCCCCATGAATTGGTTCATAGACTCCAGATCCATGGTCCCGTTGCGCCAGAGCCGGCGCGAGAGGAAGTGCCCGTTCTGTGTCGTGGCCGCGATAGCGATGGATAGCTTGTCCATCTTCGCTGCTATCTCGGCGTGTATCGCCTGCAGGCTTTCCCGGCCGAAGGACCAGATGCATCGCTCTGGGACGTAAGTCGTGTTGACGTCCGGACGGTCGTGTGGTGAGCCGTAGAAGTTGGATACTGGCACGCGGACTAGTCCAGGTGTAGGACTGGCTGAGTTATTGCAGAATGCGGAAGAAGGGGAGAGGAAGGGTTTTGAGGACGATACTACCATATCGGGGGGAGGAGATGGGACTGGAATATCTCCACCGTCTCCCCAAGATACCAAGAGGTAAGCGGGTTGGTCGCCTAATTGGTTTCTTCCGATCGGCGTGCGGCTTGTTTCTGTCTCATACAGCAATGAAGTCTTGATGGTAGGCTGGATGGTGCGCACGCATGGATCCAGCTGACAAGCAAATGCAACATGATGGTCCCAATCGTTGAGAGGAGTGCCTAATATCCTCAAGCCGAGTACCCCGTCTTCTGTGCTCGTCTGCCCCTTCATCAACTGCCCCTATTTTTTAGGTCAAAGCCAGCAGTTGATATAACCCGCGATATCTCCATGCCTCGGTGTCTCTGCTCAGTGACGGTGTGATTTCATCATTGGTATACATACATATACATCTTGATTCAAAGCGAGACGCTCAAAGCCAGAGGCTTCCGGAAGGCTATGATCACGCCCGCCCTCTTCGCTGATCTCATTGCCAAAAATAATCAAATCCTTAATATCTTGGCAGGCGTGACAGACGGCGATGGTAGAGAACGCCGGCAACGTGCAATTCCCTGTTGAACAGTCCATAGCGACCAAGGTCGACGGGTTCGAGGGGGGGACCGATAAGACCAGTGTTAATGGCAACAGCCATAGGCGCGTCAATCAACCACTCTTCCCGTATTATCGAATCGCCGTAAGTGAAGGATGAATTTGATCGAGCGACGCCACCGGTCATCATTGTGCTCTCGTGCTGGCAGGGGATGTAATGGACGATTTGCTGCGTAAAGGGGTCAATGGCATAATTAAAGAAAGAAATGCCGCGCACTTGGTAAATGTGTTTAAGAGGTTACTTCATGAGTCGAGGGTTAAATCATGTTAAAAGATATTTACGTGTAATTCCAGGCGGAATACTCTTACGCTGCCGGCCATACGAAAGGCGACCGCGAGAATCTCCAAGGCCGGAGCCATACGGCGAGTCGACTCGAGGAGCCGATTGCCGAGGGCGATTTTCCTCGCAAAGAAATCGGAGAGATCCCCATGGACCCCGGCTTGCCGCGTCAAAGTGTTCTATATCAATAAGTCGCCTCGGCTGCTGAGAGAACCACTGCCACTTGAGCTGGCTAATGCATTCAGATGGCGGCAGCATAATGCCGCTTTTCAAGATTGCCGAAAAGACGGCAACGAGGGCGTTGATCGTGATTCCCAAGGGCCACTGTGGGAGATAGTTCCCCTGGTGCACAAGTAAAATAATAACAATAGTAAGAAGTGAGAGTATCGCCAAAAAGCAGCCAAGGGCTTCTGGGATCCAACCATATATACGTATAGGACTTAATCGCTGCTCAGATGATATCGATTGAGCATGATGCTGTTGCCAGTGCTTCTCTGCTAGCGCAGCTGGTTCCTAAGTATCATCGCACTGCAACAACGAATCCGTCGACAGGGTAGCTGGGGGTGCTTGAAATATCGTGTTTTGACATCATGGAACTGACTCGTGGTGTCCTATATCGAGCATCCTAATATCACTGGCCTCAAAGTTCAATAATGCAAAAATGTAAGACCATTAATCGGTAGGATGAGGGTAAAAAAACTACTTAGAACTGAACGAAAGCCGTCTTCCCCTGGGCGATGGGGGCGAGGCTCGAGCAGCCCAGGTGGTGTAGGATCCCGCGTCTTACAAAGCATACGATACTCGCAAAGTAGCATCTCATCTCACACGAAGACGCTTCTACAACTGATCAAAGGGCCCCTGATCCAGCCAACCTCAGCATGTTATTTTGAGAGAAATATAAGTGCTGGTGAAAAGGAGGCGGCCCATCCGAAACTGGACAATCTTGCTTAGCGTTCAATGCTCAATCAAAGACTTCATTGCCTCATAAGGGCCACCGTATTGATGTATGCCTTCCTAAGTAGAGCACCTAGGCTCGATACCAGGCATCATGATCCTACTTTATTATAATTATTAATATGCCTTGTTTTCTATTGGCCTCTGCTGTTTAAGGGGCTCGTCTGCACTTTTCTCCTACCCAGTCTACACAGCCCTGGGGACTCTTGGCAATGAGCTTTCTAAACCAACTGCACCCGGCATTTGTCAGCCCTATGTAGGATTCTGTAATCTTATCTTGGATTTGAGCAAAGGACTTTCTGTATGCCTTATTGACCAGGGGCTTTAAGCTACGGTCTGCCCCGGTCCTGCCTATCTCATATTCTTTGTTAATTACAATCTGATTGGCTATACTCAGTTCTTCTATTCATGGCATACATCATCTCGTTTTATCCACGAGTCTAAAGACGTTAGATACATTGAGATGAGAACCTTGCTCAGAACTAACGTTGGAATACAGTTATGGCGTTGAGAGCGGGATCTATTGATACCCAGCATACACGTATGTAAAATGAGCATTCAGC